TGACACAGATATTTATCTTAATTTGCAATTGCTCGAAAATGATAGCAAGAATGTTAAAGTTTTAATGAACATTAAACATATAACGTACACTAATAAAGGTTATCCTCCGGACAAAATGCTCTGCAAAAAAGAAAACCGCTTAAGTTAAAATACCTTCTCCTAGGTTTTTCTCCGTTATAATGGCTCATTAATGAAAGGAATTTTTTCTGTTCCGATATTTAAATACTCCAAGACATTGTTTTGTTTCGGCTCTGAAAATAATCTTAATTGCTTGCTTGATACATTGCTAAATCCCTCGAGGATTCTTTACTTTTTTAGGTACAAACTAAAAGCTTCTTTAAATATCTTTGTGTAAGCGCATAGAAATTGCTTTATTCCTGTGCTGCTGATTTTTTTAAATATTTTTTTTTCTTTCGTTTTCAGATAGTAGTGTCCTAAGAATTTCAAGAAAGCTTATTAAGGTACCTTAGGCATTTTGTATTCTCATAAACAGTTAAGTTATAAAAAATAAATGTTTGTCTTGAAAATCCAACAGTTAGGCTAAGAGAATAACAGTTAAAGTTAACCTTAGAAGTAATTCCAAACTAATTACTTTTTAATAACGAAAATATTAATTCCCCATAACATAGTAAAAAAGCAATAAATTATATACAACTTATTCAAACACAATTGAATGTCATTCAAAGACACAAACACACTCACACATATACGTATTTATAAATGAACCGAAAGTCTTCAGCTGATTATAGATATTTATTTTGCTCAAACTACATTGTATGGCACAAAAAAAAAAACGTGACTAATTGTGTAGCTTGAAAAAAGAGTGGAGTTGGCAACATTGGTGACGTCATCTCACGCACCTCCTTTATCCATGTGGTCAGTTTTGTCGTAATAAAGCCCGCCAGTTTTGGGCCCTGCAGCATTGCGTGAACACGTGCAACTGCATTCTGCCGAAAAATTTGGCGAATCAACATCAAGTTTCTTATGAAACTTAAGAAATCCAGCACGAAAGCATTTCTAAAATAAAGTTAAGCTTATGGGAATGAAACTTTGTCTAGTGCACATGTGTTTGAATGGTATAAGAGGTTTTCAGAGGGAAAGGTTAGTGCGGAAGATGATGAACCTGCTGGGCATCAAGGTCAGCCATTACAGACCAAAGTATACTAAAAATTCGTGGTATGAGTGGATTCCTGCTCACATTATAGGTCAGACTGTTAATCAAGGCTATTACACTGGTGCTAAAAAGACTTCGTGAACAAATTAGGAAAAAAAAGGCCAGAAATGGGGAGTGGTGGTTGGGTGTTGCACCAAAGCAATGCATCCACTGACATGGCCTTATATGTCAAGCAATTTCTGACCAGAAAAACAATACTTTGATGAGGAATCCTCCTCATTTACCTGATTTGGTACCATCAGGCTTTTTTTTAATTTCCTACACTTAAATATTGCTGA